TTGATACCAATTTGTTGGTATCCTTCCACACCAAAAAAAAAAGAAAATTGACCAAAGTAACTGGCATCCATCAATGTTTATTCCAGATTTAATAAAAATCAGACTTTGCATTTGATTTTGGATTTAAAAGAGCTGTAAAGCCAAAACCTTTTTATGGCTTTATTTCTCTTTTGGATCACATCTACTAATGTATTCCTGTGACATTTAGGGCCCAGTCACATGCTTTAATGCACATTGCCACAACACATACCAACCCACCTGCTCTATATGCGGCGTGGTGTCATTAATTGTAAAGGTCACTTCAACACAGTGTAAATCAGAGTGCAAGACATGACACAACAGCGCACCACAAGGTGCATACCATGCATTGTGCTGTGCTGCATTTAAAAAAAACAAAAAACTAAAAAAAAAAAAAACACAACATAGGACACAGAGGACATCTCTAACCAATGGGTTATACGTCTACCCGCACGAGTAGGACGCTAGGCAGAAAAATAAACAAAAGCACAGCCCAGGGCAGCCCTTGCTGCTGAGGCTCCTACATGACATGGTAACTGCATGTGAGACCTATTTAGGGTGCCACAAAAGGAGCCTTTAAATGTATTTTAAAATTACATTTATACTTTATTAATGGAAATCCAAAACAAAGGCATCATTACACAAAATAAAACTAATTTAGTTTGGAGAAGTCACCTCAAGTTTTTGATCATGGAGGAATCCAATGAGGCCAAGTGCCTTATGGAGGATTTTGTTGCAAGAGGTGTGGGAAGATAGGCTGGTATGGTACAGAGGTTGGATGGGAATAAGCTAAGAACTCAGGAGGTCAAAGCAAAATAAATGCAAGATGATGACATGTTATTTTTCTTTTTATATTTGTCTGGCCACATCTGACCATATACTTGCAAGGATCTCTATCAGACCATTATGTTTCCATAGAAAATAGGTATTGGAGATTGACTTAATCCAATAGAATAAAACATATTCAGTGATTCCTAGCCAGGATTGTTATATCCCACTTAAAGGAGAAGTATTGTGAGAATAAAATGTACTCTTCCTGATATTTTGAGCCAGTGTGTGATACTGCAGCTGTCACATGTCGGCTCTATAGATAGGGAACTAAAAACAAACACAAACCACTGATCGCTCCGCTCACAATTTTCTCCCTGCAGAGAGCAGTGACTGTCAGTAACCGCTCCCTGCAGGGATTTCTCCCTCCTTTCTCTCTCCCTCCAGTGCTTATTGGTGGAACAGATTGGAGAGGGAGGTGGGCACAGCTGGCTCTAGAGAGACAAAGCCGGCTGTCAATCAGGCAGTGGGGTGGACCCCGACAACATTGACTTTTTATTCCGTTACGTCACTTTCTTGATTATTACAGTGGACTATGTTGTGTATTGCACACACGTGGCCAGCAAAACTAAAAATGACAAATATCAAACAGAGGATATAGGCAAATAAAGGGTTATACACAAAAAACTCCAGCCAAACATTTTTAGATCTGGAGTAGAGAATGATCAAAAAAAATCTGTCATGATTTTATTGTTGTCAACCACATTAGGAAGATTTCCCGTCACCTCTTTTACACATGACAGGAAGTGAGAAGCCTCAGAAAAAACACCCATCTGCAACAGTTCTCACCACAACTTCTGCCAGATATCCATTATACGCCTGTGCCGATAACAACCATTGCATTTTAAATCGCTCTCACTCTGTGTTCAAGCGACAGTGTTCACCACGACAAACTGAGATGAATCTCCCCAGAGGGGACACAAGCAGCATGAACAACATGGCAGAAAATATACGCCGTCTCTATTCTATCCAGAACTAGAAGAATTTGGGCTGGAGTTCCACTCAAGGTGGATACAGCCATCTGGTCATTACCGTGACATGTTCTGCGGCAAAGTGCTCCTCCATGTCGCTGGTAGGAATCGGCTCTTTGCATAACTTGCATATGCTGATATTACGATGACAGTGAATCTCATGAATAGTGAAATTGATCACAGAGATGTTGCGTTTACTAGATAGAAGACAAAACAATAGCAATTGGTCAAAACAATAGTAACAATAGTAGATACTAAGAAGTTAATGTTAAAAGATCTATTCCCCACACTCTGCCCAATTTTCATACAATCATAATGATAAGTAAAAGGACCCTTTTTTTCCAGTTGCCGAGAATAAAATTATCAAATTAATTGAGAAGTTTGAAAATAAATACTTTGTTCACCATTTTGGATAGAGGGATCAAAAGAGGCATATGCACAAAAGAAGCACCATAATAGTAAAGCAACAGGGCGGAATTTATCAAAACTGGAGCAGACAAAATCTGGAGCAGATGTGCATGGCAACCAATCAGCATACACCTTTTATTTTCAAAGCTTAACTGAGCAAACTGGATTTTACAAATAATTGCTGACTTCTTTCTGCCTTCTTATGCATGAATTTATCTACGTTAACATCAGCTTTCGTGCACCGATCCCTCCTGATCAGAGCAGTAAGGAGCAGGGGTCACAACACCTTGTGATGGAGGAAAGAACTGCAATTACCAGACTCCATGTCTGTCTATGGGGAATCGGATGTAAACGGACATGTGACCATTTACATCAGATTACTCTAGATCCGGCATGATCAGGTCAGGACCTCAGCTCAGTTTGCTTTTCCGGACCTGGCCGGTGTCTGGGGTAACCGGGTATAAACGAACGCCCATCCATTTACACACGGCTGCCCATAGACTAACACTAAGCATCCGATCGGGTCCACCTGTCAGTTTTTCAAGCAGACCCGTCTGTGTGAAAGGGGCCTTACCGCTTCAACCTGCCTTCTCACTGGACCAAGGCAAAATTGTATTGCCCAAGAAGCAGGTTGGAAGTGGAGAGGACAATGGAACATGCAATGCTGAACCAAGAATAGAGGTGTCACCTGTCTGGCTATGCAGGGTGGCAGAGGTGTGTGGATCACAAAAAGAGGCTGAAATTATTTACAAATCAATTAGCAGAAATATAGCTCAAACAGTTCCATTTCAAATGTGCATTTATCTGTTTGCCTGGAGCGCAGAGGACAGGCAGTTAGTCTTCCTACCCCTCTCTTCTTATCAATTGGAAAGAGAGTTTAAAGGTAAGGCAGTTTCTGCTATTCTCACTCTTTAGGCGTATCATGTCTTAAAGTGAAACATGCAGGCCACAGTAAAAAGTTCACATAGCTCCCACTTTTCCCCAGCAGCATGTACTCACCATTCCTTCACCAATGATCCGTTCAGCCACCGGGACTGAAGTGAAATACACTGACCCAGTGCTGTCACATTGGGCTTGGAGAAGCAGTGCTCGGTCAGCTCTGACAAGTCCGTTTGGCGTTTACCCAGAACTTTCTTTCCCCAGTCCCAGCCGCTGAACATATGCTACTGGGGAGGGTGGAAAGCCAAGTTAACTTTTTTTAACTCAAATACATTTTATTGAGTTTTACCGCCTTTAACATACAAAAATAAAACATTGCGCTTTCTCCCCCAAGACCAAGTGTGAGGCTGGCCATACACTTAGGATTTCTCTTGAGTGAGGGAAATAATTACACTAAACAGTGTGGCTAAAGCAGGGTTGGGCAAACTCCGGCCCTCTAACTGTTGTGGAACTACAAATCCCATGAGGCATTGCAAGATAAATACAACCACCAGGTATGACTCGCAAAACAGATGTATGATGGGATTTTGTCGTTTCACCGCAGCTGAGCGGCCAGAGTTTACCCAATCCCGAGATAGAGGTATCCCAGCTACTGTTTTCAGTGCCTGTGTCTAATTGGATGCTGGCACCATTTGGTCGATAATTATACACCCAGCTTTTTCTACACCCTGGAAAATCAACTTGTCGAACCAGGTGGTGCTGGCAGAGCAACCCGCAGCTCAGATTTTTGCTGAATCAGCTGAAATTCGAGCCTTGGGTGGCCAGCTTAACCAGTTGACATCCGCGGTGTTAAACCCCCTTCCCATCCAGGCCATTTTTCAGTATTCAGCGCTGCGGTACTTTGACTGCCATTTATTCCGTCATGCAACGCTGTACTGAAATGAATTTTATACCCTTTTTGGGGACAGATAGAGCTTTCTTTTAGTGGTATTTAATCACCACTGGGGGTTTTATTTTTTACTATATTAAGGAAAAATTACCGAAATTACAAAAATTACCGAAATTACATGCTGATCTCCCGTCCTCTTCCTCCTGGTGCCCTCCGAGCCAGTCCCGGGCCGCAGATGGGGCAGCGGATCCCGGGATTCAAGGTGAGGGGTCAGGGGAGGGGGGGCAAAAAACGAGTACATATAGGAGGATCGGCGGGCTATGGAGCCGCCGATTGTCTATATGTGAAACACCCGGTAACGGGTGTTTGCATTGGTCGGGTCTTTTCTGCCCGTGCGTGCCCGCTAGGGGGCGCGCACGAGCACAAAAAAAATGCCGTCTGGAGACGGCAACCCGCCAATGCTGCAGTGCCGTCCGTCCCTTTTTTTACAACGGGCGGACGGCAAGTGGTTAAGGGCTTCTTCACACCATGTCCAGACCAGAACAGTTTGTTTCAGGACCAAAAAAAATAAATCATCCCAATGTATCCCTATGGTATTTCCGGGCTCTGTTCATCACCAGTGCAGTCCGTTCCGGTCAAGACAGAAAGAAATTCTGCTCATTTTCTCTGGTCTGGAACGCACTGGAATGCATGAAAATGCATGTAAACGCATGGACTGCATCTAAAAGGCCATTCAAAAAAACAAACCTGGCCTGGAACGTGGCAAAAACGCATTGCACTGCGTTTGCAGATCTGCTCTAGATCTGGTCCGGACTTGGTGTGAACATAAGCCTAAGTAGCATAGCTCCTGAAGGGATAAACTTGAAACATACAAAGCCAGATGTAAGGTCATTACAGCTGTACAATTTGCCAAGTCATTGCATGTTAGAGGAATAACCATTTACATTTCACAATAATAACAATCTGAATAAATATATCTTGGTAGCAATATAGTGGACTGATGGGTGTGTAATGTTACAAATTTACCGGCACATAATGAAAACTCTGAAAGATTATCACAAATGTTTACACGTGTACACCAGAAAATACAGTCCAAAACAGAGCAGTGTGAAGGGGCTCATGGTATACAATGCTGCTGTATTCAGATCTGTAAAAATTATGTATGTTAGTCAGTCCATTGTACACCCATGTGCATAAACCCGTTGTGTTCGAATTCCAATATTGTGGTAGCATTACTGGAATTCTAAGTTAAAGGGACACTAAATTCAGGAGTTAAATCCTATACATTCAAGTATCTTAACTATTAACAAAAATGTATCTTATTTGTGTATCACGGCTGTAGATTCTCAAATCTTAATTGGTCTCTGAATTGGTGCTGACACTGTCCTTCCTTCTGGAGGGTGGCTACTTCCCCCTGATCCCTGTGTGCATTGTAAAGTAGTTACCACTCCAAGCTCATGATGGACTACAATCTCATGTTTAGTTTACTAATTTGTATTGAAATTATAGTCTATCACAGGAGTGAGCTTGGAGTGGTGACTACTTTACAACACACACAGGGACCCTGGGGAGCCTGTGGCTCATCAGCCGTCACTACCATTCTCCTGGTCCCTGCGGAGGAGACGAGCTATCACGGGTAAGGGGGTGGGGTGTGTGTGTGTGTGTGTGTGTGTGTGTGAGATAGAATAGAAAAGGTACTGGCCGGTTTTTACCTTAATGCAAAGAATGCATTAACAAAAAATCAAAAAAAGCCAAGCCTTAAGGAATACTTTAACTTTAAAAATTCAGAGTCAAGCACAATTCTGCTGTAAACATAAACCTAAAAAGTGCTTACCAGTTTCCACACAGACGCATCTCCTGTTCAGTGTTGGAAGCCATGTTTCTGAAAGACAAGAGTTACCATCACTTTCACTTTCTGACAACAGCAGAATGTTATGAGTCAGTTCTGGGAAACCTGTTGCTATTAAATAACTATGTGCAGACAACACACACACACACACACTTCTGGATGATGCCAGGAGCTGTGATGTAAATATTAAATAGGCAGAAGGATCTGGCAGAATAAAGTTTCAACTTTCTGAAAACTGAAAGGCATCATTTCTATTTATTTAGCACCAATGTCTTTCACAACATAGTGTACATTGAAGACATACAGTAGCTATAAAAGTGGCCATACACAGGACGAAATGTGACCAATGTGTGGCCCCGTTCTGTAATAGCCGAGAAGGTGCACTGATATGTTCAATTTCCTCAGACTAGTTGAGCTGGCCATTTACTGGCCCTGCTGGCTCGATTACTCAATCGGCTTTTCTTTTACATTCTTACAGTGGCACCCCTGGTACTGTCAGAATATAATAGTTCAGCAGTGATGAGGGATTCCTCCCATTCATGCTGTTTAGCGTGGATGAGGGAATCGATCTGGAGTTTACATACAACAACTGTCACCCATTCAAATTAATGATCGGGTGACAGCTGCTGTAATCGTATGTGATATGATTACATGCAGTTACAACAAAAAAAAACAATCACTATCCCTGGATACACAATTGTGTATTCAGGGATAGTGACAGATTCCTAACTACATGTAATCCTTTCACATATGATGACAAGCGGTGTGCAGGCATTTACATGCAGCAGCTGTCACCCGATCATTAATTTGAATGGGTGACAGTTGCCGCTTGTAACATATGCAGACATGAACACTGGTACCGTATATAGTAGCGGCCCCCACGGGACTAAAAAATATGTCCAGTGGCCCCCGACTCAATTGAGTTTGAGACACCTGGTTTAATACTACTTTTAGCTTTCACTTTGTTGCTTAGCGACCTGCCTAGTATGACTATGAGCTGAAATATATGAGTGTGAGGATATGGTGTGGGGGTATTTTTGCATTTTTTTTTTTCTTATACACCTCAGAATGTGGTAGTACCTTTGCCTAAAAAGGTATATTCGTACATTATAATGAAAATGCCTGCAGCAGTCATTTTCATTTTTTGAAAAGACATTACCCTCTTTTCGGATAGAAGATGTTAAAAGACTAAGTTCACGATTTGCAAAGATTAAAGAAATGCATATTTAATAATATAAAAAAAAAAAATATGCATTTCTTTCATTTTTGCATTTAAGCCTGGAAAGCATTGCAACTGTGATCACTCGATCAGGGCTACAGAGCTCAGGCTTCTGCACATTCTCTCCCAGGCAGAGCTCCATACTGAGGTACGGAGTGTTAAGAGAGTTTGGGAAGGACGGCTGGACTTCAAACTGCATTAAATCGGCTCATACAGCATCCAGCCGTCCTCTCTCTGGTTACATGCGGTAGAGCTGTCCTTATTCCAGTCCTGCAGTCTTTCCCCATCTCTCCTAACCGATACTCTGTACATCAGTACGGAGCTCTGCCAGTATGAGAATGTGCAGAAGCCTGAGCTCTGCAGCCCTGATCGAGTGATCACAGTTGCAATGCTTTCCAGGCCTGAATGCAAAAATGAAAGAAAGGAGTATTTTTTAAAATATTTTTATATTATTAAATATGCATTTTTTTAATTTTTGCAAAAGGTGAACTTAGCCTTTAAAATTCAGATATGTCACCCACATTTGTTCTGTACCATACCATGCGGTATTCTCCACAGCTATGTAGAAGTGTTCACAAAATGAATTCTCTTACTTTATCAATGCATATACTACAAACAGTATTTCTTGTTGTATGACAAATCATTCAGTATTTTCACCCTCCTTAACCACTTGCTGACCAGGTGTTTAGACCCCCTTCCTGTCCAGGCCATTTTTCAGTATTCAGCGCTGTGGTCCTTTGACTGACAATTATTCCGTCATGCAATGTTGTACTGAAATGAATTTTATACCATTTTTTGGGGAAAGATAGAGCTTTCTTTTGGTGGTATTTAATCACCACTGGGGTTTTTATTTTTTACTACATTCAGGAAAAATGACTGAAAATTTTGAAAAAAAAACAAAAATGTTTCCTAACATAATGTAAAACATTTTAATTACCCCAATTTTTTGGTAAAGTATAATAGACGTGGTCACGTCGGGTAAATAGACATAAAACATATAAAAGCTTAAAAATTGCACGCACCCGCGAAATTGCAAAAAACTAGTGCACCACGTTTGCTAGTTTTAAACAACAATGATAGATTCACTTTCAGTGAATGTTTGGCAAAAGTCTAATTCTGTATTTTATTTTTTGTTTTGCTTTTATGCCCTTTTAAGTAGATAAATACCCATTGTGTGACAGACACAGACACTTTATGGTTGTGGATCAAACTGATTCATAAAACAATTATCATGCAGTGATATAAAATAACTTAATCTTAGTTATTTGACCATAGAAATGTGTTTTATTAAAGAGTGGAAATATTAATGCTCTGCGGTACTCAACACATATACCGTGTTTCCCCGAAAGTAAGACCTACCCCGAAAATAAGACCTGGCACTATCGTCAGGGATTTCTGTAATATAAGACCTACCCCGAAAATAAGACCTAGTTCGGTGGTAGATCTCATATTACAGAAATCCCTGAAGATAGTGCTAGCCGCAGCTCCCTCCCGCCAAGGAGGGAGTCTTATATTTTTTCGTAGGAAAAAAAAATATGCCCCCGCCCCCACCTGCTCCCTCGCCCACCAAATCATTACTGAGCCGAGCGGCTCTTCATCATCCTGACCACGAAGTTCGGATCGGCTGACAGAGCACCCAGAGCAGCTCCCTGGACTGCATCAGAGCGCTAGCCGCAGCTCCCGACATGTGTCCCCCCCGCCCCCACACTTGTCTGTGGCTCCCTGGACGGCAGAGCGGACAGCTGCAGCCAAGCCAGGTAAGACATCCCCCGAAAATAAGACCTAGTGTCTTTTTTTTGTAGAAAAAAAATATAAGACACTGTCTTATTTTTGGGGAAACACGGTAGTTATGGCCTGATCTACCAACGTGTGATCCGAGGTAAGGTGAATAGAAAGAAGTGCTCGTCTGCCTACACTTAAAACAGCCATGTGCACATGAATTAAAATAAAAAGAAACCACATGGTTAGATGTCCAACCTTAACACGTCACCTCAATTAATCAGGTCCTTAAAGGAGAAGCCGTCTTTTTGAAGTTAAATGGATTAAAAAAGTATAATTAGACTACCGCGCCCACCCTCAGTATAAAATAATTTCAAGGTTAAAGTGTAACTAATTTTTTTGGGGATAGATTGGAGAGGAATTAGACCCCATGTCATTTTTTATTGCTGTCTGTGTCCCCGCTAGACAGATTCATCCCCCCTATTTGTCCTGGTGACCGTCATCAATGAAAGTGAAAGAAAATTTAACATTTTGGGATGTCACCAGAACAGGAATACATGGGACATTTTCCAATGGTGACACTAGTTCTGGTGATTCTGCTGACCACCAGGGATTTCCTCTCACTTCCTGTTGTGGCTATCAGACAGGAAGTGAAGAGAAATCTCCCCAAAAGGACACAGAAGGGGGTAAAAAAAAACCTGACAGAGGTTATAATCCTGGCTATACAGGATGCCAATTACAGCTGGTTCTTCATAAACCGGCCAAAATTCGCAGAGTGGGTGCCGCTGTCAGTACCCTTTCACCTGGTATCCCTCGATCAGCTGATCGAAGGAGGCGGTTGGAAAAGTTTTTTTCAGGCTAAGATAATTTTCAGCTAGTACAGAAAATGACTGTTGATCTTGCCAGGAAAGTGTGCTTGTAAAATTCCTGTGAGCTGACCTGGAAGCATAAACCAATGTTACCATATATGCAAACTACTAGTTCCATCGTCACCTATTTAATGAAGATGAACAAAATGAGACATGTTTGAATTCCAGCCAAGGTTGCAACCATAGCTCCCTCCATAGATACAGTGGAGGCAGAGACCGGAAGTGTGTTATTTGCAAGATCACCAGATGAAAATACAAGAGATGACAGAAGCTGCCACAATATCATACAAAGTAACCTCATAGGATTCCCTTACTCTGAGCCCCCACGCACATCTGATGCTTTGCATCTTCAATGTATGTCAGAGGATTAAAGATCTTGTTTTATTATTAGATTTCACTATGGTTGCAAAGTTTCCATTACACTTCATTGATATGATTTACCCTTCTTGAACTTACAAGGCCTGAGAGGTGTAGACAGATCTTTATGTCTGTATTTATGTTTGTATAAACACTCCTACTTCCCGTTTACTTTCCATCTTGAAAATGTAAATAAGACCAATACAGAAGAATAGACTTGTTTTTCGGTGTAGTTTGTGGTCATTGTCTCTCTCTGCCGAATGAAACATCAGACTCTCCGCTGTCCTGATAGGCAGTCATAGACCACATGACCTAGGATTAATTTTTCAAGGTATGGCTCCTTATAAATATATTTTGTGGCAGTCGGTCTCTGTAAAGACCTTTCTCTGCCATTTTTAATGCAGACATTTTAGAGTTCTAAATATAGCTAACCCAGCTTTGCAAGCAGAGATAACATTGTTTATAGACTAGATTTAGAATTCTAAAATCTCTGCCCAAGTACCCTGACCCCTGTATCTGCTGCAGACACAGGGTAATCCTACTCCACCCGTTATATCCATAAAGACATTGGAACGCCCAGAGAGCAGAACCTGAAACAATGGCAGGGATACCTCACCACTGAAGGAGGAGACCCTGGATGGACATGCTGGTTTGACAAGGAGAACTAAATGGGGTTCGAGATACAATGCTATATACAGACTACAACAAAAAGTCAAGGGACAAACTCATTGAGAGCTGAGTTATCATGGAGCTGCTGCTTGCTCACAGTCTTCTCCATATAGAGAGTAGTAATTGTAAGGCTGGGCACACACCTTACAACCATCGCAAGACTTCTGTCTTGCGATGGTTGTAAGGTACTTACAAA